CAATTTGTTTGCCATATTTTAATTTTTTTTCATTAAGTTTTAATTGTTTTCAGTTTAAAATTTAAATTATTGGGGAGGGGGAGATGAAGCACCATATAGGGAACGTCCGGCATCCTATAAGATCAACAATGATTTGAGTTTGTAGGGGTAAAAATGTACTTGAGGGTGCTCCTTGACGAAATTGGCGACTTATGTTTGGCACCATTTCTGTTTGCGCGGAACACCGTAGTAACAGAAATGGCTGTCAAACTATAATGATATTTCAATAAAACATTGGAAAATTTCAACAAAACATTGGCCAAAACTTTATAAAATTGCAATGAACCCGATATGAGCAAAATTAATAAACCCAAGAAAATGCATTTTGAATCAAAACAAAAAATTAATGGAGTAAGCACAGAAAGAAAAGGGAAAAAAACAACTCACTTCTTCGTTAGCTTGAAAATCCTCAGATTTAAGGGCACCGAATTCTCTATTAGTAGTTATGTAGATACTGTCTAAATTTATCATGAATAGAATCTGTGTACCTCCATCGTCACATAAATTCGGCGAAATACGAATCGAAAATTGCGTCTGTGGTACCTGACTGGCGATGACATTTTATTCTGAAGTCCCACTCTATAACTGCCCACATACCTTCGATCTTATTGACCAGAAGAAAAAGTAACCTTACCAACCGGTATCCAACTTAGAACAAACGGACCTCTGAAATCACATACACCGTTGAACATTTAAAAATAACACTAAAATCTAAACCAATAGGAATCACGATTGGGTTTCAACATCACCCTGCTTGGTGTTCAACCACGATTACAACTCGGCGAGAATCAAGGGGCACCCTCAAATATAGTCAATCCGAGTTAGGCTCTGCCACGTGTGCTTCGAATACGAAGATTAATCTCCCGCTAATGCCCTATTGTAGTTTGTTAAATAATATTGCCTCCTCGCTTTATATAAGTTTATATTAATGTTTGTATTAAAATTGCTATATATAAGTTTATAATGCTGATAACAAGGACCTCTGACATATTACAATCCTATCATATTCTCTCTATGTGATGTTGGTGCAGAAAAATTGCCAGCTAATCTCCAGGAAAACGATTTTAATTTAATCAAAAATGTAATTGCGTAGCAGTTATCGAGGGATGGTGAGCGGTAGCGAGCAGGGGGCGGAGCCCTCTAATATTTACATATGCTACCGTTAAAGTATGAAATCCGTTATTTTATAGAATACCTAGATATTCTATGAAATAACTGATCGTGTCCGTTAAAGTGTGTNGCCGGGGTGGACATAATGATAGATACATTTCTTTTCTATACTAATAAATTTTTTTCATATTTCTCCAAAAATATTTAGCGAGTTATTTTATAAGTTCTGAAGTATTTAGATTATGCGATTTATCATACATATCAATTAAGTTTAAAGTTTTACAGGTTTGAGGGACCAACAATTAAATAACAAACCAAAAATAATGTTTTTGAACAGCCTATGCCAAAAATTATAGCACTGGATTTGTAACTTGTGACAGTTATGATGGTTATTATATGCAATAATTAAACAAACTTTTGAAAGGTAGGCTTAAATATTTATGAAAATATGGAAATTTTTATGGAAAAAAACTAATTTTTTGTTGTTTTACTTTTTTTTGCTATAATTTTATAAATGCTCAATAAAATTAGACAACATTTTTGTTACAGTTATTAACTATAAAATTTTTCTTTAAAATTTTAGAAAAATTCATTTAAGATATGAGTAATTAAAGTAGTTAAGGTAATACTGCACATGCGTGGAAAAAAATTTTTCTTCTTAATTTTGTAGTGAATTATATTTGGAAACTAATGAAAAAAGTCGGTGTTGAATATCTTAAAAAATTAAAAAGTTTCGAGCAACTCTCAATTATTACCTATCTCGGTTTTTTAGTTGAATCATCTCATACCATTAAGTTCTTTGCAAATCGATAGGCATCTCAAGGCTAAGTGATTTTTTCACTTTCCACTTTTTGGGAAAAAACATGAAACCTTGAGCCTCCTATTTTATTTACAAGGAATATAGAATTTTCTACAAAAGAAAATTCACGCGTCCTGTAAATCAAAATTTGTGTATCGGTTACATTGTGGGTAAGGTTGTAAAATTAAACTCAATATTTTTTTTAAAATCTCGAATTATGCATTTTTTGGTATTAAGTTAGCTAGTTATATCCTTGAAATGTTATAACTAGATAGCTCTTCGACAAAGCACAAGCGACTCTTGTAGTTGTTAGAACTAGATAACTAGAGAAACTAGATAACTAGAAAAACGGCAAAACGTTAACTTAAAATATTGATTTTTTTTCCAAATAGGTGTTTTATAGTTATCGTTTTAGTAATATACTTATAATATAAAATTTAGTCCTTGATTTAAAATAGCATTATACTAAAAAAGATAAAGCTAGTTCTGATTAAACAATAAACCAAATCAAAAGTAGAAGCCCTTATCTTTAGGTGGTGATTGATAATATAAGCAGGGGGCTGAGCACTGTAGAATAAATTTTAAAAAATGATTTAGATAGTAATTTCATTCTGGTTTATTTCCTTTAATAAAAACAATTCTTTTGTGTATGCCAACAACGACTGAAACGTTTGTTTAAAATAAACAATATCAAGTTTTTTTATTATATAAGTTTATCCGGCAAGGTTTGAAATCTGGAAAGTTGCATTCTGTAGAATGGTTAGAAATTCGATAGAATGCTTAGGCATTCTACAGAATGCTTAAAACTAGTCGGTGAGCTACGAAACGATTCATACTTCATGCATTTCCTCGGTATTGTGTAGAATGCCAAATGAGAAATCGAAAAAGTATGAAAAACGTTTCCGATTCGTTTTGATTGTAGTGAAGTGTCATTCGAGCCAACCATGTTAGAACAAGTAGATTAATTTTAATTTTTTATTTTTTAAATTAAAATTGTTTCTCTTAGAAAAAAAGGTATAAATTTCGTTTCTCACAACTCTTACTTATTCTGAATTAACTTCTTTTAATGACTCTATCATTATTTTTTCAAAATAATATTTCGATTTTTGGGGAACACGCATAATTTATATAATGACCTGATCAGGATCATTTTTCATACTGAACAGCATTTGTTATTCTATAGAATGCCTAGGTATATTATGTATATACGTATTTTGTCGGTAATATGTCGGTACGTATTTTGTCGGTAATACATGCATGAGGAGTTTCCGCCCCCTACTTATTAAGCTCGCCAACCATCTTAATTGCCTCTCATTCATCATTGTTTTTCAATTCCTACTATCAGTTCACACACTGTCCCTATACTTATTTATATATCTTATTCCAATTTCCAATCGTTAATAATTGATTTTTGTTTATCCACTCAAGTTCAAACACATTTTTTTAAACTTGTAGTGACATTTGATGTTAATCCAGTTTTTCTAATATTGATTCATTAATTAAATTGAATTAATTAATTTTAGTTTCATATGGGAGAAAAAATTTATCTTATATTAGATATTTAACAGGATATAAATTTAGGAATAAATACCGTCAGTGGCGAAGCGTATAACATCGCGGGAAAAAATTTTCTTTTTCAGATTCTTTTTTCATTTTGTACTCTAGTCAGAGTAAAGGAGGGAACAAAATGGAAAATGAAACATGTGAATAAATTAGTGAATAAATAGAGACGGAAAGTGTGTATGTGAATAAAAAGTAACTGAAAAAAAATTTTCTTTGTTGACAATGTAGGAATTGACTTTTTTTTTAATATTTCCTGTTTTTCTTCTTTTTTTTCTAAGCGTAGATATTTTTCGCAAAACACAGATCACTTTCTTTTTCAAATATACGATTATTATAGCTTTATGTAAGAACATTTTGTTATGCGTTATTCGTAATGAAATAGATAATTACCTATATTTGAGAAATAATCATCAAGGAATACAGACCGTGAGACTTAATAAGATGAAATGAATTAAGAATAATTTACTTGTTGACGAGAATTGTAATAATTCAGATGTTGTTAACGTATGCCTGTTTAGGCCGACGGGTGCAATTGTTCTTGTTTTCAAGTGGCACCATCTATGGTTAAGAATTAGACTTCTACCACACCCATACGCCACACCCGTTTTTAGGGTGAACCCATTCATTCATCCAAAGATCGTAATTTTGACCTGAATCAGAGAACGATCGATCTCCAATCCAGTACCCCCAGAGGTATTGATTTGTTATGGGAAACAATTCAAATGGGAAACAGTTTTAGTAGCTATTTCATGAGTTTTTTTTTATTTTTGAAAATGTCAACAAAAATGTAAAGATTTATGTCTGGCAACATGAAATGTTTCTCTCTCTCTCCGTCTTTTTTTTCGCTAATTTTGATTGACATCTACTCAAACGCGAGCGCGTCCCAAAAAAATAATTTCTTATTTACAACAATTGATAAATAGTTACAATGTCAAGCAAAAAGAGCTGGAAAAAATGACGAAATAACATTCAAATTCTTAATAACTTCAGAAAAAATTCGATATTTCAAAACGAAGTTTGCGTTGAGTTCCAGAACAAAAATGGCTCTTTCAGCACGTCCAATTTTAACTCCGCTGTTGCGTTTGAGTGGCTCACTTCCAAACAATAATTTTTCATATCTGTATTTATTATTCCCTTAAATCTGATGTTATTCAGGTTTAAGAGAAGCAGTAATTCATCATTGAAATTGCTTTAACTCACAAGATCAATTGTTGCTGAAATTTTGATTATGGATGGGAAAATGTATTCAAACTACTCTTTTGTTTTTGTTTATTTTTTAGTGATTATTAAACTGTTTTTCATAAACTTTAAAAATATTAAAATATATACTTATGTATAATTAGATGGCTAGAAAAAAATATATAAATGGGACACCAGTGTCCCACATGTGCCAAAGGGTTAAAGTAACTCCTCTGATTTCCATTTGTGTACTTTTTTTGTATAGATGTCTTATTATTTCTCTTGTGCTAATGACATTTTGACGATTTAGGTGCTCGATGCTAAGAGCGGTGTCGATGTTGGCAAAATAACGAAAAAGTGTTCAGGGGTGTTGGATGAAGCCCTCTCTGACGACAGTCAATTTGGTTTAACTTTTCTCACAGAGTTAGATGTAAATCAGAAAGCGATGCTCTTGGGAGCACTTTTTCTTATTGTAAGTATATTGTTTTTCATGCATATGTTCACATTTTTTATGTCACTTTTTCTTATTGATATAGTATATAGTGTTTCTCATGCATATGTTCATATTTTTCTTATGTCACTTTTTCTTATTGTATGTATAGTGTTTCTCATGCATATGTTCGCATTTTCTGATGTCACTTTTTCTTATTGTAAGTATAGTGTTTCTCATACATACGTTCACTATTTTCTTATCACTTTTTCTTATTGTAAGTTGTGTTTCACATGTATATGTTCACAATTTTAGCAGCCTAAAAAAGAAAGTAATTTTATTTTTATCAAACATAAAATAAAGGCGCATCATCTTTGTAATAAACTTCTTCAATCACCAACGAAAAATTCCCCTAGCGTTTTTTAGTAGCCATACAGCCTTTTATATTTCAGGTCTGAAAACAAAAATTATTTTCTTTTTAGTCGTCTTTAAAAACGTAGTTTTTAAGTATATTTTCTTTTCTTTTACTTTGTTTTTCATTTATTGTTGAGATAACAAAATTCAAGAAAGCATTTTTTGTCAAATATAAAATAATGGCGCATCACTTTCATAATAACTATACTTCACTATGCGTCGTAATAAACTTTATACTTTCGTAATAATACTATCGAAAAAATTCCCTACTTTTTTTAAAAGTTATTTAGCCTCTTATGTTGTAGGCCTGAAAAAAAAATATTTTCTTCTTTTTAGTCCACTTGAGAAACGTAGTTTTTATGTATGTATTTTTTGGTATATTTCTTTAAAGTTTATGTATTTTTTTTTTGTCTTCTATTTATTGTTGAGATAATAAAATTCACTAAAAGAGAAAGCATTTCGTCGGTTTGATAGATCGGAGTCATTTCGGACTTTTTTCATACAATTAACTAAGCATCACTGGTGTCAAATACTTACCGAAAAGCGAACATACAATGATCAGAAAGGAAACAAGTAAAAATGAACAATTCCGAAAAAAAAAGCAATTCGGAACGTAACTGCGCCATAGCCCCTTCATTATTTCCTAAAAAATGTGGTCGGAATTTCGAAACTTTATGAATATCAAAACTATCTTCGCGTCAATCGAATTTCTAATAAGGGTTGAAAGCAAAAATGTTAGTAAAAATTTTAGTCGATTTTCTTTCTGAATTTTATTAGACTTTATAAACTTTTCTCAGCTATTTTTAGGCTTATCGAGTGCTTGATCATATCCCGTTACCGTTAGACTTTTATGTAATAGTTTTACTCAAAATGCGCAGGTTCAAAAATTCTTGAAAAGTTTAAATCTGTAAGTGTTTCTTAGGCTTGGAAATATATGGCGTATCAGCTACTATATTATACAACACGATAGTGTTCTTTAGGGTTAGAAATCTGTAAGTGTTTTTCATGGTTAGAAATATACGGTGTAGCAGCTACTACCTATATTATAAAACAGGACAAGAAATAAATTGTGCATTTACAATGCAAATTTGAATGCTAATTGAATCAGCAAAGTGAACCTTTACTGAAAGCTGTAAACATGTTTCAAAATTCTATGCGAGGAACTTCAACTCCACTCACCCACTGATAATTTTATCCCATTCCTTGCTTAAGAATTTATCAGAGATGTCAAATTCTTACCAGGGTTAGCACAATCCCTTGTATTCAATATGGCCCAAACGGAAAATCTGTTGAATACAAATCTGGAGAATAAGATGGCCATCCTTGTGCTCTAAGGCATTAAAAATATAACTTTCACCATTCTTGAGTAGATTTAACTCAGTAGTCTGGGGCAGATTCCTGCTGGTAAACTAAATTTTTGTTTACAAAGAAGTAAAGCGTCTACCAAAAGAGTTCGTGATATGTCGTAATAAAATCATTTGATTAAAATCTTTGACCAAACTATTTTTTGTTGCCTGTATCTCTATAAAGTGATATGGAATGTTTTTTATCCTCTTAATGTATCATACTTCTATTTCCCTCTAGGATTTTATGTACTATGAAAGCTGTTTTTCTAGAGCCTGTAATGATGTGATCTGTTGTGATTGAGGTACTACTTTTCATATGTTATGCTTCTAAACTGTACATATTGTCATTTAACTGGTTATGGTACAGCATTAAAACTTAATATGCATGTATTTTTATTTTACAAAAAATAAAATGTGTTTCACCCGAATGTTTTTAGTGTTTAAAAATTTAGACCATAAAAATGAAATAAAAAGAACTATTTTCCATAATATCATGAATGTAAAAGGATTTCTTTTAGATTGCTTATTTGTGCAACAATTACAAGCCACATCAAAATTGATTGGAATTTCGTTTCAAGTACTTACATATAAATTCGAAAACTTAGGAACATACTCTAAAATTGAGACGTTTTGAAATCTTCAAGTGTTAAAATTAATAATGTAATTTCATTGTTTCATATTTTAAAATTGGACATGAAATTTTCGAAACTGGAGAATAAAATTTAATCTTCGAAAATTCCATGGCTATTGTTTCATAATATGAAATTTAACAAAGTATATTCAAAACTTGAAAATAAAATTCATCTTTGAAAATTCTTTGGTGAATTGCGTTAGGAGAGGGGCAGAAAAGTATTAAAACGTCTCTCTTGCTTACCAAAACTGTACATTTATCACATTTTCGTCTTGTTGTCTGGTGAAAATGACCCAATCGATCAACCAGAGATTCTCCCCAAGAAACTATAATTTTTGCTTGGATCATTAACATAGTTAAAGGAGATAGAAAATTAAGACATTTATACAATAATGCTTGTCTCGAGAATATAAAAAGGTATGAAAAATTTCGAAACGATTAAAATTTCCTTAATAAACTTGGAGGTTTTCCCAATAATCACAAGGCGTCTAGTGCTCACTGAAAACTATTATAGTGGAAGATAAACTTTTGCCATAAAACACATTTTGTATTTTAAAAAAAAGTAATGAAGCTTTCTGGTCACTTCATTGATTTGACAATTCAAATAGATATAAAGAGTTGTACGATGTGTAAAAATTTATAACATTTAAGTGATTGCTGAACTAGGTGAAATTTCCCTACTTTGATGATAAGTTAATTTTAGTGTTTCATAATATTAAATTTACCAAAATATATTCGAAAGTTGAAAATAAAATTCATCTTTGAAAATTCCATGGTGAATTGCATTAGGGGAGGGACAGAAAAATATTAAAAATTCTCTTTGGTCTGATGAAAATGCCCCAATCGATCAACAAGAGATTCTTCCCAAGAAACTTAAATTTTGGCGAGGGTCATTAACATAATTAGATGAGATAGAAGTTAAACCAGTTAAAGTTAAGCACGGCTTAAAGTTAAACATTTCCAAACCTTGCTCACTTCCAAACAACGACAAAATACAAAAATTGACGAAATCGGTAGAATAGTTCCTGAGAAATCAAATTTCGAAAAATTATTTTTAAAACTCGATATTGCAGGATTTATTCACTGATTTTTCCCAAATTTTGTATTTTGTCATTAAAAATTTTATTCTTTAAAAATGTTATAAAAATGTATTTACTTAATAAATCAAAACTTTTTCTACTATTATTAAATGAATATTAAAAAATAATCAATATTTAGTAGAAGTAATTTTTTGTATGGAGTTATCTTTGGAAAAACAAATTTTATAATTGTAGACAAAAACTTTTCCAGTTTTCTTAAAAAGATAGTAGGATATTTTAAAGTATGCAAAGAGTGATATTAACATTAGGGGGCCCAAAATTTAAACCGCGTTTCTTACCAAACAATTAGGACCATATTTTCCAGTTTGAGGATTGTATTTTGGGGGTATTAAAAATATATGGTCATGAAATACTGCAAGAAACACCGGTTCATTTATACGTTAAAGTTTACACACTTATTTATACACTTCCAAACATGGCTCACTATCAAAAAAATTTTTTTTTCAAATTTGCACCTTTCCGCCATTATTTAGATCCCAGAGAAACAATTATTCATCATTGAATTTTTTTAATTTGCGAAATCAATTATTGATAAATTTTTGAATAGGAATTAAAAAAATTCAATTTTATGATTTTATATTTTAGTACAAATATAATTCTGATAACATATTTTTTTACTTGCATTTAGATTGTTTTTGAAATTAAAAAATATCACAATATATTTTACTTGTAATTAGAGCATCAGAAACAAACATATATACAAAGGACACCGGTGTCCCATTTGCGTCAGAGAGATACAGTTTAGCACATTCCCTTATACAAGTCTTTGGCAATTCTATTTATTGGATTAAAGTCTGGTGAATAGGGTGGTCATTCTTGGGCTATAAGACAATCAGTGCACTTCACCATTTTTGAGTGTTTGTAGTCAATGTGCTCGATCAGAATCATAACGAAAGGCTAAATTTTGGTTTCCAAAGAAGTAAAGCAATATGTTGCGGAAAAAAAATTAAATTTTAATCTTTGTCTGTTCAAGTTATTTCTTGTCGTTCTGTATGAATTTTGTATGCAGTAATTTTATAATGTTTTGCTTATTCTCTTAATATGTCATGTTTCTTTTTTCTCTTTTAGGATTTAATGTACTATGAAGGATATTTTTCTGAATTCTGTTGTGATGTGATTATTTGTCGTTTGCTGTATTGATTTTTCATAACGTCCAATTTTTCCTGCTCTATGTTCCTTCATAAGACTTGGCATGTCCTCACTTAATAAATAACTTGATATGTGTAAATATTTCCTTAACAACAAAATAAAACATTTTTAACCCTAAAGTTTTAATGATATATTTAAGCCATAAAAGAAAGAAATCAAAATAATTAATTTCTATCAAATCGTAAATTCCTTATTTGTGGAACAATAAAAAGCCACAAAGAATTGACAGTGCACAATTGAGGAATTGTGTTTAAAAAGCTTTTACATATACATTTGTAAAACTAGGAATATATTCAAAAAACAATTTCCAACTTACAAATAATAAGCGAATTTCCACAATATTATTTCATAATTTCATATTTTGAAATTTTACATCATTTTTTAAAATTTGGAAATTAAATTTATCCTTTAAAATTTCATGTCCAACATCTGTTACACCAAAAACTTTAAGAATTATACGTAATCATCCCAAACATTAAGCTTAAGGCAATTCCAGCTATATTTCTTCGCCATTTGAATCATCTCGGCCAAATAACTCAAACGAAAACGTCGGCATTCCAAATCTCCAGAATGTCCTGCAAATATAACTAGCACAATTCCATCTAACGTTTTTAGCCATTCGAATTCGAAAACGTCGTCACTCCAAATCTCCAGAATGTCCTGTAAATATAACTAGCACAATTTCATCTAACTTTTTTAGCCATTCGAATTATCCCTGCCAAACGAATCAAACAAAAACATCAAGTTCACTAAATTTCAATAACTTTTGTTAAAATTATCTGATTTCTATACAAAAAGTTTAGTTTAAAAACTCACAATTAATTATTATTTTCATAACTGCGAAAAAAAGGAATCAATTTTAAAGGAGAAAATATTTGTATATCTTTTTATAAACTCGAAATTTAGAAAATATTAGTATTAGAATATCCAAAAAGTTGAATAACAGTTTAAAAATATTATTATTTTTAAATATATAATTAATTAATCCTGGAATTTGGTAATCTTATTTATTTTAATTTTTGAAATTTCATATTCAAAACTTCATAGTATCAATAAAGACACTAGAATATTTAAGTGAATTATGTTCTAAGACTCACAACCACATATTTCACTAAGTTACAATTGCACAGTAAAAAAGAAACTTCAAAATTTAATATTTTTTTGTTATTGACGAAACTATTTGATGGAAAATGCTACTTGCTAACATTTTGTCAATTATATTAAATTATTATCCCCATTTGTTTAAGAATGCGATATTTTGAAGGCATTAGTATTAATGCAGAATTGTTTTAGTTCGAATAAGAAATACATAGTAACTAATAAGCACTCTGTCATTGCCTGAAATTTGACCTAGAAAATCTACGTGATATACGAGTGCACCAACCCCTGTATCATCCTGTCATATATTGCACATGGTTCTAAACTTCGATAAAAAAAATATTGATGGAATTCCAGAATGCAATGAAAAAATTTATGCAATTAAACTTACGAGAGTTACACACGAGAAAGGAAACAGTTTCATTAAACTTATGAAACGTGTCGTTTTAAATTACGTCTTTTAAGCAGAAATGACTGTCAAAAATAAGGAAACAATCGATTAATGAATTGTCATAAAAAAGAGTTTTATTTTTGAGAGTATGAGTTTTAGTCAAAATAGAGTGTTTAAAAAGTTACATTTATATTCGAATTTTTCTGAAAATCGAGCAGTTCAGTTGAATTTGCCCACTTGGGAAACGTGTTCAGATTAAACAAAACAACTCCAAGTGTATGCACCATAAAAATTTGTACAGCACAGCACACAATGTTCATAACAAAACCTGGTTTAGCCTAAAAAAAAGTAAAATTATTAGTTTCCGTTTAATGTTAAGCTTCCAAATGTTAGTATTTCGTAGAGAATACTTCATTAAAATATAAGTTGCTGTATATTTTTTACCAATTAATCTTTACGATATAAGCTGAAAGCAAATTTTAATATGTTTTCTTCTTAGCGATTTTTGTTAACTATTAGATTAGTATGTCTAATGTTAAAGCACTTTTATTTTATTTTACTCCATATCGGTAAGTTTGTTTCCTGCTTTTCTTAAATCTTTTTAACAGTTTATTCGCAGACCTGAAGAGACTTTCGAGTCCGGTCGTAGTCTCAAGTCATTATTTTTTTTATTTTCTTTGATTATTCTGAAATCGTAAATTCTTTTGACTATTTTTATTCTTCA